AAGATTGGAATAGTGGAAGATTGGAATAGTAGAACACTGGAATAGTGGAAGATTGGAATAGTAGAACACTGGAATGGTGGAACAGTGAAACAAAGGAACAGAGGAACATGAGAATAGGGCAAGAGAAGAACAGAGGAACATGATAAGGTATAAAAAGAGCTCGGACGAAATGAACAGAGGATTAAAAGTATACAAGGACAATAGAAAACGAGGAACGGTTAAACTGAGAGGAAAAATAGGAACAAATATACAAAGGAACAGAGGAATACACGGACAAAAGAACGGATGGAAAGAGAAACGTAGAAACATAAAGACAGAAGGAGGACCAGAGGATAAACCCTCACTTCTTCATAGTATCAGTAAGAGACGAAGTGGCTTAATGCTCATTGCACTGGACTCCGGGTCGAGAGGTCCCGGGTCGAGAGGTCCTGGTTCGAGACCTGGCAGGTCAACGTGTAGGCTCCAGTAAAGACCTTACCTAGACCTCTCTTCATAGTATCAGTTCCTGCCTTGGCCGTGGTTTTCACGTTGGCAGTTATTGTTTTGGAAAACATTTTTGGGAGGACTTTTTCAATCAGATTTCCTTTAAAAATGTTTGGTTTAATCTTGGCAAAAATTTGCCATTCATGATACAAAGATCGAGAAAAACGTCATTAGGTTAATGAAAATATCTATCAGCCATACTCGGCATTTTGTGCGTTATTTTTTTTCTAAAAGTCTAAAACTAACGTTGTAGTTTTTCTGCAAATAGTATGTTCTTTGTTCAGTTCCTATGGTTTCACTTTGGTGATGCAGCTCTTGTAGTGACTGGTTTTACGCCAAGAGCATGCGGTTTTCTCAGCATTTTGAATGCAGTAGGAATGACCCCATTCGCAGCTGTTGTGATCGATTCCAGAAGGCTTACCACACCCCTTTAGTTTCGGCTTCTTGTCACAAAACACAGTGTAACACGGCGAGATCTGACAAGCGCAGTTTCCTCGGTAAAACCGCCGTACCCCAAGACGCTGGCGCACAGTGATTTGAGGCCATTCCTGGTTCCAGTGGCACTGATTGAGCTCTAGCTTTCTTTTCCTGACGTGGCCTGAGATGAGATACACTTTGTTGTTATTCAGTTTGACCCCGCACAGGCTATCAAGAGTAAAGGTGTAAGCTTTGGCAAAAAGGCTTCGCTGTCTCGAGCCGTAAACATTGACGCTGTCCATCTCATGGAGTCGGTGTTCTCCTTTATATGTTTTCAGGATGCGGAGGTCGAAGATACGAGTAAAATTGTCGAGGTATTCCTCTTGAAACAAAACCTTCGCTCGGATAACTAGACATGGGAAGGAAAAATAGAGATAGTAACAATGTTTTCTAGTACACCGTAACTAGGAAACTATTTTTTTTATTGTAGCGCCATCTTTCTGTATATGAACCACACACAGCCCACAATTCCTCCACTCGCTTGGATGAAGGGCTTAAGCTCGAAATGTTATCCTTAGAATCTCAATACAAGTGATAAAATCAAATGATCTTGTAATAACCCCCGCAGACACAGCACCACAGTTTCTTTTTCTCTCCAGAAACAGTCAGTCTCCTTCGCGCTTTCGCCTTCGCAGCCACTCTTTGGATTGTCAGGCAAGGTTTACTACATAAGAAGCGTAGGGCGGGCGGGCATTAGACAAACGGCACGCGCGGTTGTCCCACAAACGCTGACCCCACCATTTTATTTTCGCACACTCGCTTTTTCGACCAAGAGTCTTACACAGTGTACTTCAAACGAAAGAAAGTAACCACAGCTGCCAATCAGAACAAGGTAAAAATGTTACGAAGAGCCGATCAGAACTCACAGTTAAAACAAGCAAACTGCAGCAGCCCAAAGCGCGGGAAAACGCGAGTGACCAAATCGCAGTGTTGTAGTGTCGCGTTTGATGTTTGATGGGGAGCACCGAGTTTCCTTTTCGAATAACGGAGCATAGACATTTATTTTTTCCGATTTAATCCGGAATACTTTCGACATTCCAATATTAAAAACTTTGCTCCAATGCTCTTAAATCAACTTTTGTTGTCTGGGTGGAATTTCTGTTGATTTATGCCTTCAGGAATTTTTAAGAGTACATTAATACGGAGGAAATTAAGAGAATTGCTAAGGATAACATGTGACCTAACCTCACTAATTAAACAAATGCTCTTTCCGGCCAAAAATAATGTGATAGTAAACGATAAATTAACTTTGTTTGGAAAAGCCCTGCAAATATTTTCTCAAGTAAGTGTGAACAGGAAAGGATTTGATTTGGTTTCCAAACCTGAAGCTTAAAGAAGGTGGCTGTTGTGGCCAATGACCTCATTTATTTAAAATTCGTCCTCATTCCCCGTTTGTAATAGAGTTTTTACGAATCTCTGACAGTTTTTTTGTTGTTTCAATGTGATTATTCATTTGATTTTTAGTGTTTTGGTAATACCTTCCTGTTAAAATTCACCAGTTTGCACGTTGAAAGCGAATGCAGCTTGAGGTGAAATTGGGTATTCCGTCGAAAACATGCAGAAGGCTTGTTTTGTGGCGAGCTTGGGGTTAACAAAAAATATTAGTCCCTTTTGAAGATTGAAATCCTAGAAAAAGTTCCGATTTCGCTGTTGGATACAATATCATTGATTTAAAGGGCGTGCTTTAATAAGCTCAAGAGAAGTCTTGGAAAAAGTTCAAGTAAGGCAGTCATTCTGCTAAGTAAGACCTTCATCGATGACGAGTGCTTTCGACTTGTAAAGACTTACTGATTAAAATTTGCTCTAACACACCCCAGGTTATTACCTTCATAACGTAAACTGAAAAATAACTTTAGAGGTTTCATCATTTCTTTTAAAAACTGAAGTTATTGGATTGTTTCAAGTGTGCATGTAGCTGCAAGAAGTACAGATGGTCATATACACTAGTTACAAAATAAAACAGATATGGCGTGCGAAATAAGTCTTTGAAAATGTCGTTTTTACCCTTAAACCCAGACATGACGTAAACCCTTGTCGGGGTTTTTTTTTGTTGTACTTCGAAACTAAAGCAGTTCGTATGTTAAGGCTCCTGGTTTTTAAGAATCAGTTGGGTAACTACAGGACTGCTCTTGGCTTTTTAAGTTTTGTGGTCGCGGTACATAAAAGAAGTTTGAAATCGTTTTACCAAGGATTTTTGTTTCGAACTAGCGGTCTTACCAGTTCTCTATGCAAAAAAAATAAAAAAACAAAACAAAACGTTTTTTAAAGTCGAGACAGGTTTACCAAAAGGTTCTCAAGATTTCCAATAATAGTACCTTTTTTTCGTTACTTTGAATTTGATGAGTCAACCGCTCGAAGAAGTCGCCCCGAAAATAGGTTGACTTTAGCTGTCTGGACTCCCGTGAGGAAGAAAGGCTTGGGAATCGGCGCAAAAAAAGGGCTCCGCAGCACTGCAGTTTTAACAAAACTCGACCATTGACTTTTCAAGATAATCAAGTTTATACGTGGGACATAAGAGTTTCTCATAGAAATTTTCATCGGAATAGAAAGACTCGACGAAAACTAAAAACAACTGGACAAAACTGAAAACCGTTACCAAGATAAATTCAAAAAGAGGAGAAATAGTTAACCCAGGAGGAAGAAAAGCAAGTCAATAAAACCGAATGAAAACCAAGGTAGAGACCACGAAGAGTCCAGAAAACCATAGAACAATCAAGATGATCAAAACCTTAAATCCTATTAGTCTCAACTAGTTAGGAGGAACAATCATCACTCTTGTAAAATGTCCGAGTTCTCAAAACATTTCAAGAGTAAGGGCTTTACTTACCAAAATGCGCACTACAAAAAACCTCTTGTGGATGTCTCTCGGGGCAAGAACATGGTAACGCATCAACTGTGTTCACTGCACCAAGTAGCAAAACGATATAAAAGAGATGAGACATGTCTCTTTCTAATTTCTCAATCGAGGAACGCAAACTCCTGCTGACACTCCGAGGCCTCAATGACCAATTACTGCGTCTGAAAATTGTCTTGCCACTTATATAGCAAGTTGAACCAGCATGAAGCCATAATTTTTTTGGCTGAAATTGGAGCATGTTGTACTTGGCGCCACGCCGCAAAGCCGTGTGCCGCGTCGATGACTGGGAGAAAAAACGCCCATTAGTCCATTTATTTCAAATTTTAATGTAGGAAAGAATAAAATGAGTGCGAATTTTTGTCAATACCATTAAAGGAGAAAATAGCCTAAGTACAACATGTGAATTCAATTGTGCTGATTTCAATGCTTCTTTGCTGACGACAGTCACCCAAATGTCAACAAACTCTTGACCAGATCTCGGTAAAGTAGCAATAAAAATAGCAATTCCAATACTATTTCAAAATAGATGGTTTTAAGACGATTTTCCGGCTTTTCAATCCTTGATATATATTCTTTTGAAAACTGATCCTTCAATAAAGGGATTTATAGCTTAAAATTAGAATATCTGCCATATTGCGTGAGAAATCCGATAACGAGGATCAATTCTTGTCGACACTACCAATAAACGGTCTCAAATTCTGATTTTTGATAACGGAACGAATTTATGATCGATTAAAATGAAAATTTTCATGCCTTTTGCCAGACCATCGACCGTGCATCATGATGTAGGAAGAACTCATTAAAATCTTATCTTCCAAATGTGAGACCGCAATATTGAACCATGAACTATTAAAAGTCTAGACGGATATAACTCTAAACAAACAGCGTAATTTACTCCAGACTGCAATGAAAACAAAACCGGGTGCATGACTGTTCGAAACTGTTTTGGGTTTCTAGAAAACTTGATCATAATGTTGATGGAAATGCTGGAAAATTCTCGGGGCGGCCTTTGAGTAATACGAGCGTAATCGTAAATAAACCAGGGTCAAAATTTTTTTAGGCATCTGGGGAGAATTCTGGAAGAGTTTACCAGGTTACCACACACAGTAGAGAAAAATCAACTCCTGTCCTCGCTTTTTTTTTTTAAATGAAATCCGCACTTTCTGCGTAGAATTTTGAATTTATTCAGTTGTCAGGCATTTCGTGTGTTGAGCAAGAAAGCTACTGGTGTGTTTACTATTAATATCAGCATTTTCATTTATTATTTGCTCACAGCTAACATCAGCAAAGCTGCATATGATTAACATTCTTTGTAGGTGGAAAAAAAGTCATATTGATTCAAGACGGCCATATGTTAGATAATATTTATACTTTTTCAACGAGAAACCTTTGATGGTTCCTCAATTACCTACATCATTGTTCTTTTTTAAATCTTTAATTTGTTTGTTTGCTGTCAGTTTTCAAGGTAAAACTTTGTCTCTGCAGTTTCTATACTCAGCGGTTTCTTGCCATGAGCATGCGGTTGCCTCCCTGTTTTTCATACAGTAAGAGTAACGCCATTCGCAGCCCTGGTAGAATTGTTGCATTGTGTGATAATCGTGGGAGACCTGGCATCCTTTCAAGGGCTGAAAGCAGTCAGTTGCTCCAAAGCAAGCCGGTGTAATATGGCACTCGCAGTTTCGACCGTAAAATCTCTCAATTCCCTCACGCTGTTCGCTAGTAAGTTCTTTCCACGGTTGAATCCAGCTACGCTGATTCAGCAGAATCTTCCCTTTCTTGATACTTCCAGCGAGGAAATACTCAGTGCTGCTTCGAAGCCCAACGTGAACACTGTAGGCTTTTACGAAAGAACCATTATCTGCAGTGATGTTGATGGTGATGTCCGGGAATTTCTCCTGCCCTTTGTAAATTTGATAAATTTTAAGATCGTGTTCGAATATACTTTGTTTGTGGTTCTCTTCTCTTGACTGGTTCTTCGGCAAGACCTCGGCTCGAACCGCTGCAAAGCAAAGAATGTCTTTCAGTTCTCATTGACACTTCATATTGTTCTCATATAAACTTTGTGCGTTTTCCTTCGTTTGTCTACTGCAGAACTCTCTGATCGCACCCAACGGAAACTTCCTCGGGGATTACCCGAGAGAACTTCCCAGGGTGCAAGTGGCCTGGGTGATAAGTATGTCTAACAAACATATCGCGTTTGGTTTACTTCTGAAACACCGACTCTGCAAGGTTCGACGAATCATTCAAGAAGAAGAATTGAAGAAATTTTAAATCCTAAGCAGATATCTTAACCCTCTACAACAAAAACAACAACATTTATTACTTATAGTGTGTCTTTTCTATATAAATTATCAAAAGTGCGTTACAACAACTATAATACAAATAATAATAACTTAATAAATTATATATATGTGTATATATATATATATATATATATATATATATATATATATATATATCTATGAATTTGGGGGTAGAGTCTACCTTGGCATAAAGTGCTCAATGCTGTGGTAGCAGAGCTAAGTATACATAAGTTAAAGAATTAAAGAGACCAAAAATGCCTTGGAAAACGAATAAGTCTCAAGTAAACGAATAAGTCTCAAGTAAACGAATAAGTCTCAAGTAAACGTTTAAAAGAATCAACGCTTTTAGTCTGCCGTATTGGCAAGGGATGGCCTTTCCATAGGACCGGGGCCACTACTGTAAATGATCGGTCCCCCATAGTCTTTTCCGTTATGAATCGTGGAGATTCAAGCAATGTGCCATTATTATTGCGACGGAATTGATAATGTGAAACAGGCAAGATAGAAATTAAATTCTCACGATAGTTTGGAACTAAGCTTTGAAGTATTTTAGATGTGATAAGAAGAATCTTAAAATCTATTATGCGCAACTTTACTGATAAACAGTGAATTTTCCGAACATCCTTTACATCCTAACAATAGCATGCATATCCTCAATACTGTTCTCTATACACTTCCTAAGGTGCTGACAGGGAAAATTTGTGTAACAATCAAGAGCCTGTTTAGTTGGTGATCATTTCCTGTGTTCTTGTTTCCTTACTGTGTGATTCAGGGGTGATATTTAATCAAGTTTCTGATTTACAAGTAAAATGACAAATCTGAGGTAGGCTTAAAACAGAATACAAGACTCCTTAAAAATATTAAAATAAAATTATTATAAGTGGACTAATGATTTAGTAAAGTACAGTGTAAAATTTAAAAAAATCTACGTTAAATTTATCATGATAAAAGGCCATCAAATTCTTACGAACGATCGACAAGGTATTTGACTCCCTTAAACTAAGGGGTAGTTTATTCCACAGGCGACAGATTCGAACAAAAAAAGAATTCTTAAAGACGTCAGTCCTGCTGAAAGGGGTATCAAGCGTTAAATGATCAACGTTTCTCAACGGTTTGATACAAGAACGAAATATTGAAAGGAGAAATTAGATGTTAGTCACTCTTAGGAGTTAAAGGGTTAAAAGAAAAATGCTAATTGTACAGTTGTGATTAAGATATGCTGCTAAATGTATGCTTACTCCACTTTTGCGCTCAACGTCTGGCTCATAGCTTTTGTTCTGGGTTTAGTTTTGGCGTCATTTTGGGCGAACCTTCTATTGTACTGTGAAGTTCCTTCCCCCCATGCACAAGTCACGAAAGATTACAGAAATTAACGTCGTAAAAAATTGTTTCCGGCCTCCAACGAGTACAAATATTTTTACTTCCATCAATTGTAAATAATAATTTCCAAATGCATATCTTAAATATTGTTTCTTAACAAAATACGCAACGTTTAAGGGCGATACTTCCGAGAAAATGTACGCTCCGCTTAACACTTTTTTCAAAAATCACGTATTCGTCGTGTATCCGCTTTAGATTACATGAGAGATCATGCACAATCATTGTGTGAACTAAATTGACCCTTCTGACGAACTCCCATTGCTCGGGCAAACTAGGATTCATCAAGAAAGAAATTTAAAAGAATTGTGCATCTTTTCAAAGTCATCATTTACAATCCTTTTAATCTTTGCCATCCTTAACAGATTTGGTCTTATCTGTTTTGTATTTTTATAGCCTAAAACAGTGTTATATCAAAGCTTCATTTTGTTTATAGGCAAATTTCCCTGTTGTAAAAATAAAGTTGGCCTTGAAAGATCGCAACGTTACTTCGTTTAGACGGAGAACCCTTTCTGCGTTGTTTCGCTATCAAATAATTTACAGATACTTGTTTATTTCAACAATTCTTTTTCTCTGTGTGTATATAAATGTAACTCGGGAACGTGCGGTTTGGAGTTCGTCTGTGGTAGATAGCCATACTATTACCATTTCGAGACTTTGAGCACGGTGCCCAACGGATTCACTTGAAAATTCTGAAAGGTATTTGATGAGTTCCTCGGCCCAAACAAAAGGCCTCGTCATACGAGCCACGAACTATTTTTTTACATGTATTCGACAACTTTTTTTTCTATGAAACATCTTGACTTACCAAAATCAGCTGAGCAAAACTGTTCTTGTGGATGTCTCAGAAAGACTGCAGTGTCTTCTTTTTCAATGGGGCCTGCTGTACAAAGTAAAGCGGCGCACGAGAATAAAATGACGCGATGAATAGTCGAGTGCATACTGATCTGGTGTGGAAAACTGGACCTTAGAATTGCTTCGAGGAGCTGAGAGGTACTGCTTCATATAGTCGTAGGAACATCGTGAAATCACGTCTGCATGTGACGTAATGCGATCAAATTACTTAAACTGTCAAACTGGATGATTAGTGCTGCTCATGTTCTAAAAAAATCAGTGAAGTTGCACGTTCGAATTCCGTAAAGATACTGGGTGACTGAAAAGACGTGTTTTTTTTTCACGTATTTCCTGTCCCGGTAGGTGTTGACACACAGTTAGGCGGCCGCCATGCAAACATTTACAGTGTCAGCTCTGCACGTACGTTGTTAAGCAACCTTGAGGACAACCTTGAGTGACCCAATTCTGCTTATTTTGGTGAAGGTGAACTACAATCTCAAAGTTTTTAAGAAACTTGAATTTATCTCTGAGATTGGCGCTTTTTGCAACCCTCGTTAATTGTCTTGACTATTGACCATGTTTGGTGATTGATGCTGCATGTCTATCATTTAAACTATGATTTCAAAGTTTTCTTGTATTTTTAATAGCACTCTTTACCTTTTATTTACTGGACAAGTCTTACCGTAAATCCTTGAATTAGCGCTAAGGGTGCTTATTTCGAATTTGAGTTCAGAAGGGGGGGGGGGGGGAGGAGGGAAGGGGTGAGGGGTAGGGACGGGGTAGGGAGGAAACGGTAATTTAAATTCTCGCAAATCGAAGCCCGATGCTATTTTTTTTCGTGATAAAACATCTTGAAACTCTCCAGAAACTCTTTATGGTGGCAATTTACATCATCTTGAGTTATCTGGTTATACTTACTTAATTATACAGCGGCACAGTTGGGACTCTTTCTTATTTTCCAAAACCGGCGTGTTTGCAAACTGAAAGAAGTATTGTATACATTTGCATTTCCAATATTGCAATTACACGCTCAACTAGACTGACGAACGTGATCATTTGTCTATAAAAAAGGGAAAGGAGGATGGGTGGCGTTCATTCGAAGAGAGGACGCACTTTTTTGGGCTACAGGAGGGGCGCTTATTCATGGATTTACGGTAGCTTTCCATGAGTCCCTCTCCATCCAGGAATACAACTAAGAACTAGTTCAGTGTCTGGAAAACTTCACGAGGGTGTTTCATGAGGAAGACAATAGCACCACATTCAGAAATAGCCGCAATACTTCTAGGCAATAGATTAACCCCTAATGCAGTAACATCAGTATTTATATTCTCCATACTGTTCTCTCTACATTTCTTAACGTGCTGACGAGGAGAATTTGTTTAAAAAAACAAGGGCTTATTTAGTTTGCATTATTTCCATTTTTCTCGTGATCTCGATGTGTGATTTAGGGGGAGATATTGTTTGGAAAAATACGATGCTTGTCACTCTTGAAGGTTAAAGGGTTAAGAACAATGGAACATTTTGATCTCGGTAGTGGAATGAAGAAAGATGTTATTTGTCTCGTAACGAGCGTATGACAAAGGAAAAATCCCGAGTGCTCACGAGAAATCGGACCCCAGACCCTCGGATTCCACCCTCCATGCCACATGAGCATCATGGAACCCCAAAGGTTTGGGGTTCCATCTTTCCTGGGAACTCAATTTTTTTCTTTTTCCCACGCTCCTTGTAAGACAAATCACTTCCTTGAACGCTCCTAGTCGTTCCGTGTTAAGCTCCGAAAGTGTGGGTCAGTACTTCTAAGCTTGTAAGATGAAATATTTCATCACAAGAAACTAAAAGTGTTTTTATATCTCCCAATTCCTCAATTTTCGACTTTTTTTCCATCTGTATCGCTGGAGATGGCTCCAAATGACCGTCTCTAGTCGTATCTTCAAAGTTGGTGTCAAGTTTTGAGATTCCATTGGAAAGGTAACACGATTTTTGGGCCAACAGTGATCTTGAATTGCCCTCCGGCTTACTTAATTTGTTTACTTTATTTTATAAAAGGAAACTCTAAAAGACACAACAAATAGTTTGGTATTGGGTGTCATCAGAAGCATGTAAATGGTGTCATCCAACTGTGTTTAGTCTAGAATGGAGTGTCTGCCGCATAATTTAATTGTAAACTAGTCTTGTTAACGCAAATGATTGGTAGTAAATAAAAGTTTAAATTGAATTATGACTCGGTTTTGCTAAACAGCGGATAAATTTTGGGTAAACACTAAGCCCTCTGACTTTGGCACAGCTTTTCTCTTTGTCGAAAAGCTCAAGAAGCTGATTTGGTGTGAATCAGAGGTTTGGAAAAACGCTAAACTATCGGAATGAGTACGATTTCTTCCAAGGCTCAACAGATGGGGCACACCATCAGTGAACATTAGCATTGCTATTTCAAGAAATTTTTAGGGCTTGAAGGTTTTTGGGTTTAGGCACCGAAATACTTTAAGCTTATGTTTTTTTTATTATTAGTGTGGTGTTGTTGATAGGATTATGAAGAAATCCAAACTTCTTACGTACACGTTTTTGTCTGCTGGCCAGAATTCCCGACATGTGGGAGTCAAAGTTTGTCAACATCTGACTTTAAAAACACGACTATTCCCATCCTCTGTCTTTCAACTGAAGATTTTCTGAATTCCGCAGGCATTTGAAAATAACCTATAAACTTGCCTGTCCTCGTCTTCTCGCCAAATTCCTCTCTCGAGGAAATTGAAATTCACTTTCAAACGCTTCATTTCTAGATAAAAATCGATATCCCTACGCTCATATCGTTCCTCAATGTGTTTTATACTCGCCGAATTTATTTTATATATTCAGACTATGCAATACAGTTGGACTTTACTAAATCTTTTTTATTGACTAATTTACATGACCAAAAGCGTTTATTCGTCTTTTAAACGACGTACAGTAAGCGTTCATAAATGAACTCATTCTTAACATGTATTCGGTAAACAAAGAATAAAATGCAATTTTCAATTGAGCGCCGAAGGCAGTGTGGGATTGCAAGTGGTTTTGCTTTCTTCGCTTTGTGATTGGTCCCGAAAACTTTGCTTTGATTTCTCATCGGCTCCTATAAAAATTTCCTTTGATCTGATTGGTCATTGTAGCTACTTGTTTTTTCTTTTTCTTTGTGTTCACGACACTCAATTGAAATACGCAATTATCTGAATGCATGCCTCTAGTTGTGCTTGTACGCGCTAAACCCAATTTTCCTGGATCGCGTCGATGAAAAAGATGTTTTGTCAAACACTGGTTTTATTACCTAACGAGTAGGAGATACGACGGATCGAATTTTGGACAACGATGACCAACTGGAAGCAAAGTACTATTTTTGAGCAGTTTCTGAACTTTCTTTGTGCTGAAGAGATATGTTAACGTAAATTAACAGCGAAATCACCTTCGCGATTCGCCCCAGACCCAGACGATGGTCTTGGCATATGCGTTTCATACGCGAATACAAAGTGAACCATTTAAAAATACACAATTTTATGTACAGACAAAGTGCTACTTGCAATGCTCGACGCATGACAGGGATGTGGAAGTCAACTGAACGCTTAACAGTAAATTATGTTAACTGAAACCATTGCTCTTATTGAAGACACTGAAGCAATATGATTAGTTTGAGTTTCCTTTTCCAGTTGACGAACATTTGTCCTCAGGTTGCAATGCATCATGGTATTTTCTTTAGGCATCTTTTATACTCATCCGATACCCGCCAGGCGCATGCGTCACCGCTCCAGTCCCTCATGCAGTAGGAGTGTTTACTTTTACAATGTTCTTTCATTGGTGCCTTCCATTCGACTTTTTCACAGCCACTGAGCATTTTATCGCAGTTGCTACCGAAACACATCCCCACTTGACACATGCAGTTCTCTCCATAAAAGCGTCTGATTCCAGCTCTTTGTTTGCGCGTTATTAGCGACCACTCCGTCCTCCATTTGCAACCTCCAGTCCGCAGCCTATTGTGGAGTATCTGCCCCGTCAAAAGGTACACGGTGCGGTTGCGCAATGGCACGTGGCACGACGACGCGCGTGCCGGCGTGTACAGCTTTGCACGCAGAGTTCGACGCCGTGAGCCGTACACTTCCACACCCTCTGTTTTATTGATTTCTCGAGCTCCTTTGTATATCTTGAGTATCCTCAAAGTGTACACTTGTTCTTGGATGAATTCTGCTGGGATGTCCTCCTCAATGGCTGTCTCTGGTGGTTCTGTCTGAAGAGGTTGCTCTGTGGACTCGGAAAGGACTTTGGCTCGAATAACTGTCGAAACAAAACAAAAATAGCAACTCAGTGTATTTCAGCCACGGCACAGCCACAAAATGGCTCCTTATCTCCTGCCTCCAGGCCCAGCTGTATTTTTCGTGCAGGGTTTGGTTGGATATGGAAAAGCGGAAAACCTAGAGGAAAGCCCTCGGGGGCAAGGTCGAGAACCCATCACCTTGACCCGCGGCAAGTGATGGAACGTTGAAGACCTTTGATTGCCCGCAATGTATTGTGCACCCTTAAAAATTTTTGCGCAGTTGAATGTCCATATGGAAACGACAGCTAGTCATAAATGATCACATGCAGTGGTTGCTTGCTTCATGGTCGGTTCAAACTTTCATTGTTTTACATATTACATATCTAATCTATATCTTTATAACTGCCTTACTCTACATTATAACTTTCGCCACATGATAGTACTACCCATTAACCTTGATTCAAATGGTCACACTCTGGGTTTCACCCACAAACTGAAAAGTGAGAACACTTTGTGCAACGTAATAAACAGTTTTACTTGAAAGAAGAGCTCACTAGGTTCCAAACGCAAACTAAAAAAGTTAAAATCCCTTTTAATCGCACGAAAAACAATGAGAGCACTGTTTAGTTGCTTTTACTTAAACTCCAGAGTTCTACAGTTTACAGACGCTATAAGCTAGTGCTACTTCAGTTGAACAGCACAACACAGTCACATCACCAAAAACAATGAGAACACAGTTTACAGACGCTGTAAGCTAGAGCTACTTCAGTTGAACAGCACAACACACAGTCACAGAACCAAAAACAATGAGAGTACTGTTTAGTTGCTTTCACCTAAACACCAGGGTTCCACAGTTTACAGACGCCATAAGCTAGAGCTACTGCAGTTGAACAGCACAACACGCAGTCATATCGAATTACTGCTCAGAAGCTTCCAAGTGAATGTTGCAGAAGGTTAGAACTACCATGCAGAACATAACAAACAGCACCATTTGGAAATGCACCTCCTGAGCAGCTTTTGATATCAAATCCTAAACCACAGAGTTCAAACCGCTTTGTGCATGTTAACAGTCTAGAATGCTGAAGGATTTGAAGATGGTCATACACCTAAATGTAAACCCCCGAATGGACTCTTTTCGTGAACATGCTTAAGCACATCATCGTCACATGCGCATAACTCTTTCTGAAAGGTCAATCTATTGAATGAAACGTCGTGAGGCAAACTAAAATGAACCTCTAAAAAAAGTCCGAGAATCTGCCGACTCTGAGCATTTTGTCAAAGATTGGTAGACATTACACTTAAGCCAGAATTTAAGACTTATCAATACTTTTCAAGCTGATATGCAGTTACCGTATTTGAGAAAACTTCACTGATGCAATTAAATGAGATTTGACATTGTGATGAAAAATAGAGCAGAACTTTCTCTTAGCAGCAGGTGACACAAACCGACGTGAATCACAATAGCTCGTCTTGAACTATACCAGATATAATGCTAACTTTAATATTGGGGATTAAGTCTCAGGAATAGTATTAAGTTTTAATCTTTCGCAACTAGTGCAGTGCCAACTCGCAAACGGTTATTAATTCCTAGCTTGAAAATTGAGCCCTCTTGTCTTCCAAGTGGTATGAATTTCTTTCGTCGAAAACGATTTTAATGTTTTGTTTAATTCCTTTGGTAAGGTTTAGTCTTTTAACTGTGACCGAAGATATTTGATAAACGTAGAAGAAAGGTGAATTGTCTTGAAACATGGATAGTCTACGGCCATTATGTAATGTTTAAAACACCTTACAGCCACCCTTGTGTTAGTTTTTAATTTGCATCAAGGAGTTTAGTGCTTTAGTAGCCATACTTTACAATGTAAATCCAATTTATTAGTAGATTGCACGATCCGATCTTGAATGGAGATTACGGAATTTGAAAACACAAGATACGCGAAACACGAACGGGCTAAGGTGAAACACTTTTTCAATTAAATTAATTGGCCACCCTCTGACATACTTTATGGAAAAGTACGCTGTATGTTGGATAATGAATCCAGAGAAAACTGTCTGCATTTGGGTTCAAAAAACTAAAAGAGCGATTTCAAAAAGAGTTATACTTCTTTTTATCAATCATTTCCTTTCATGTGTCGAAGTGTGAGAGCTTTTTTTTTTCACAGTTCCTATCATCAACGACGCGACATCTGACTTAATAGAAGGTTCAAATTAGATTACACAATACCCAGAGGAAAAGGGGAGGATTTGGCGCATGATCACAGTCTCACAGCACGGATCGTTACCGGCTTTTTCATCTTTTTTGTAAACACGCTTTTTTTTTTTCCTGGCTCGCCTGTTTCAATATAAAACTCACTACCCACGGGTTTTACAGGCTAACGTGACATGCGAATTTTTGCGTGACTAAAAAAAAAAAAACTTTGATGTTTAAATAGAAATATTTGTCATTATTCATCCTCTATAAAATTTTCTCCTTCACAATCGTCATTCGTAGAGAGCCATCCTGAATAAAATTTTCCTCAATTCTTTAAAAACATTTCAAAGATTCGTGATTTGTTTTTTTTCAACAACCCCAAACCTGCGTGAGTTTCCTGTATTGCGTTAAGTAGCTCTCAGTGAATCAGGGCAGAAGGTCCTTTTTCAAAAAAAAAAAACCTTGGCCGTGAATATTTCTGTTTGTTTTGTCTGCCGTCTGGGACTGTGTTCAAGCTGTTCTTAGTGTGAAGATTTCGTCGTTGCCAACGTTGCGGTTTCGTCGTAAAAACAAGAATGTTCAGATTAACGAGTTTAACCTTCGCCGCTCGTGTATCCATGACAAATATTTTGGGTTTGTCAAAACTTATCTTGGGATTTATCGCTATGTCATGCCCTGGATGAATTTTTTCAGAGATACCTCCGTAGTGACAATTTTCCGTTCGTAAAACTCTTATCCATCATAGTCTGAGAGAGAGAGAGAGAGAGAGAGAGAGAGAGAGAGAGAAAAAGTCGAGTTGAGATTCAATATCAAATATGATAGCGAATCAACGAGGCCGACGGAATCAACACCGGAAGAAAACGTAACCGACCACCTGAATTCTTTAATTTCCTCGTCAATGGTATTAGCGATAATAGAGGTATTAAAATCTCTTAAAGAAGGTCCACTCGTTTTTCATAACCTGATTATTACCTCATAGCTAATACCTTAAAAACCGCTCTGCTATGTTTTGCACAGAAAAGAAATGACAAACGTGTAATGATATTTTGCACGCAATCAAATGTATTGTGAATCTTGAAAGTAATAAACACCCGTAAGTGACTTCACTGACATCTTTCCATTTCATTTCAATAAAGCCGTTCATTCATCTTTACTTTCATCTTGGATTTCATCTTTAAAGGTAGCCGACTGCGGACAGAGAAACGTTTTCTTCCTATAAAATCACGATGCATGAATACGTAGTTTGAAACAAGTGGAGAAGTCAAACGGCCGAAATGTTGAATTTTATCAGCGTGCTTCTGCAAAAATTTGCTGACGTTTTCAAAAGCTTTTTCATGCAGGCTTTTGCACACGACATGTAACCCTACTAATGACAGAAAATATTCATTACTCACCGAAAGCAGAGTTGCAATATTCATTTTGAGGATGACTCGGCAAACACGAGCAAGCACGACACACAGAAATAAATGCGTTGCTGAGGAAAAATAGTATAAGAAGGTACCCCATCGTTAAATTCTCCAGAGCGTGCTTCCAAACCCCGACCGGTGTCTGTAAATAAGTTGTTTGTCCGCTAAAAGCTATATATTCCCAGCCGATAACGACTTATTTGAGCTGTTTCCTTTGCAAGCGGCAAACTTCGCTTTGAGTCGTACGGTAACCGGATATAGGGCGTCTATGAAGACAAAAAAATTCAGCCCTCTTCGAGAACTCATGATGTCACTAGGCATTAAAAATACTTTTCAGCGAACAGGACAAAGTCACGCCTCATCGACCACACGGGGCTGTCTCGCACTGAGATGGCTTTTTTCGTATTTTCTTTTTCCGGACAAAATTTCCAGCCAAATTTATGAGAAAATAGAGCCAAAAACATGACCAATATCAAGTAGTTTCTTATTAGCAATCTACAATATAACGCGATTTATTATTTTCGCTCAATCCTAACAGTTCTGTTTTTTCCTAAATATGTTGTATTCTTTTCAATTATTATTGTAGCATCTGATGGCATAGGTAGTTATTTACATATAGCTGTGGAATTTTAAAGACGGATTCTGGTGACCCCTTGCTAAGGACTTGTTTAGATTAATTTTTCCTTAAGCATTGAAAGTATTTGTACTCACTCAGCTGATAACATATTTCGCATTTTCCAAGGAGGTTTCCGAGTGGTTATTTGGTAGCCAGCGCGTTTACTAACTCTTAAATTTATCACGTTTTCACAAGATTTTCACTTTGGTGTGATGTTAGAAAACTGTAATGGGAATTTATCGCTCTCTCGCTTCGGGATTTGTTACTCCAATCGATCATCTTCTAACTTGGAAAACACGTGTCATTCGCTTACGGCCTAATTTCAATTTGTTTGGAACAGAATATGATCATTCCTTGATATTTTCTTTCAAACAACAGACCAAAAACGTGAAATGTGTTTAAAACCTGGAATTATTCAAACTGGCTCGTGCATCAACACATTATCAAGACCATTAGTTGTATAATGATAGCGAAAGTAATTGGAGGAAGGCGAAAAACATTACATCTTTGCGTGTGGTGTTCAGCCCTATTTCATTGGAGCAATTTGGGCGGTCGAACCATGAACTACTCTAGCGGTTTTTCTCCGAGAGTGATTCCACGGAATGTTTTCGTTTGAACTTTGTAATCTGTTTAAAGTGATAACCCCACTGAACGGAACTTTTTAAGAGTCTTTAGTGCCGCAAAGCGGAAAAAGGCTCTTTTTTCTTTTTTTTTTCTTCTTTTTTTTTTTTTTTAATCATACTAATTTGAATTAGTCACTGCTCCGAACAATATTACCTTCCGTTCAGAGGAGACAACTAAATATTAGTTTCATGGGATGGAAAATTATAGAAGCGACCAGAGTAAAACGAGGGGAAATTCATGGATGGCTTAGGACAGAAATTGGTGGAAACCTGATTGTAAATAAGGAAATAGAAAAATTTGGCAGCCTTATAAACCGATAATGAATCCTTTGGCGTAAACGATATCATTTCAGTGCAGCCTATATGTTGTATTATGCTATAAATCACACTTAGATATTGAAAAAGATTTTGATGTGACATATTTGCTCTGAGACGATTCTAGTTAATTTTTTGTTGTGTTTTAAACTAGGTCACATACTTGTCCACCTCTACCCGCTTTTGGTCAATTTTCCTCTTCGAAATTACTGCATTATATCGTCTCCAAATAGATTTGTATAAGTTGATTCGCTTTTGTTTCATTCTAAATGTAGCATTGATAATGCTTCCGTTTTTTACAGCCAAAAGATAGCTTCACAATAATTCAAAACAATTTCAATTTTTAGCTCAATGAGTTGTAAGGAGTATCAGACCCCATGCCAAATATTTGATTTATTTATAATAACGATGATTATTTTAAGACTGTCGGGGTGATAAAGTGAAATGTTGTGTTTGAAAGAAGCGCGTAACTGCTGTTTTCAACGGCTGTTAACAAAGATGAATATTATACACTCTTTGCTAATATCGCGCATTTTTTGGCTTTAAACTCTGAATTTTTCGGTGTTTGTATCCTAACCACCTTTAATTAGATCTGTTTTCTTATCTAAAGTTATCTTTATTGAAACTTGTTTGCGGTAAACCATTGGCTCCCATGACACTCTTAAATTTTTACTTCAAGTCTTATCTAATGTTGCAGTTTGAAATGAAATTAGAACAATCGAATATACATGTGAGCCAATTAGCTCTATCCGTATTTGCTCTAATATCCACTCTCTCAAAACAAATGCACAAGGCATGAGTGAAATATATCATGTCAAAATCGTGCCAATTATTTACTAAGTAAACATGCGAGAGAAACCGTTTAAAACATATGAAAATGGCTACTTCGTCGCTGATGTAATTGAATCCAACTGCCCACCAGCAAATGGATATACGCTTGCATGAAGTTGTTAGAATTGTTCTAGAAGTTTTAAGCTTATTTTTTCAAGAAGCTTAAGGTTTAGAGATAAGTAAGTCTCCTCTTTTTATCGTTTCAAGTCAAAACCAAATCGTTAAAGTATTGTGATATATCTTTGTGTGCTTGCATGAAGTCACTGTTATTATTCTAGAAGCGTAGGGCTTATTTTTTTCAAGAAGCTTAAGGCTTAGAGATGAGTTACATTCCTCTGTTTATCAACTAAAATTTATGCCAAGCTGTGTTAGTATATATTGTCGTATTTCATAATCTTAAGAAGATATTTCCTTTCCAAATTATTGATTTTAAGTTTTTGTGACATGAAGATAGTCTGTGATTTCCAGTGGGCAATGATTGTTGCCGCTGAATACTTTTTGCATACCATTTCTATAGTCACGTTTTTTTGGTATGTTTCGTCCGCCACTTTGAAAGAGGGGTGCAAAACTGCAAGAACTGAAATGTTTCATGCGCTGTATCATCCAGAAATTTCGTTACAAAATTGTAAGAGAGTTGAGGGAATGTATTCTAGTTTTCAAAACGTGGTTGTTTTTCAAATTAAGAAACTCACGTCATTTCATTGTCTTACGACAGCTCTTATAACCTCAAGAAGGTTTGCCATCTAAAACTTCCTGATTTTTAATACCTATAAATGTGATTAATTAATCGTATAGTATTGGGCCGATAAGCTTAAGCTAAATCTAAACTTAATTCTTACAAGATAAATGAAAAAATTCAGCCAAATAGCCAAGGTCAGTTAGACAGCTAAGAATCCTATTGTCCGGTCACGCCCTTTTTTGACCATTACCATGCTCCACCGCACGACAAAAAACCATTTGAAGACAAACTCTGGTGAACTCCAACATGACAACTTAAGTATTTTGTGCACTACTCACAATGACGAGAATTCCTCGGATTTATTGACATTCTTGCCGAAGATTTACTGGCTCTTTCTTAATGGAGATTTGTTTCAAATCGGCCACGTTGTTATGATAACATTTCTGTTGAAATAAAGCTTTCTCCATGTCTTTTTAAAGTGACGCTATGAATGCTGAATGCAAGAAATCTCCCTTCATTGTTTTGTGGAATTGACGCTGTAAGAAACCAATCTTTTAGGTTTCGCTTGAAACTTTTCCATCCATGAAACGTGCCTCAAATTTTGGGCGGATATGATAGTCAGACCGAGAAAGAAGACGCCCGCTCGCGTAAACCGCGAGCAAACCGCGTTCAAACCGCATGTAAACCACATTTAGGACAGAATCACGGTAGGCAATAATACAACGGAAAGTTCCTACCACTGAAACTCCCTGCAGATAGTGATATTTGTACTCAGGCCAGCAGTTCAAACATTATAATCATCTCATAATTTTATTTACATCTGAATATTAAAGAAATTTAATTTTTTTCACGTGCACAATACAAAGAAAATCCTAAGTTTGCCCGTAGCATGAGTCAAATCCAAGTGTTTCTTACAAAATGTGTTTTTTGATTAAATTTAAAATTAAGCGTCCTTTTAATTCGATTAAAATAAAGTTAATCACTATTTCTAATGAGCTCATCTCTAAAAGATGACTCTTACGGGAGTGGAATGATTTTCCATGATAGACATCCGCACAATATAGTCGTTGGGAAATGTAGTAAACTGTGTTGATCACAATCCCGCTTAACTTTACAGCCTTTCCAAAGAGCGTTTGGGGCTGTTTTTGGTTACAGGCAAGGGTTTGTTATGACAGCGAGTTACAGAATTGAAAAAAGCTCTGGTGAATCTTAGCATGGCGTAATTTTGTTTCCACGAAAGTTTTAAATACCACCGCAAACTGATCATGAAATAAGGGTTTGTGTATTGATGAAATATTCGAAACTTGACAAGAATGGCAACATTTGGTTTCGAAATAGCGCATGAAAGGTTTTGAAAACAGAGCTCTAATACGTGTAATTGACCTGTCCCGGCAAACCGTTTCCAGGTGAATATAATTTCCGCGTTCGATTCTTTGGATCTCATGTTATAAATTTCGAACTAGGAGTGAAACGATGATCAAAAGCTGAATTCTTCCATCTGCTTACTATTAATTAAGTCAAAGTTGTTAAGAGAACTTAAATCGTTGTGTTGGCCTCCTGCATAAGACATACAGAAGTGTTTTGAATTTAGCTTGCTTGTTGAAATTGTGCGCTGTAGGCCATATTTTGCAGAACTTGAAAGGGTTATAACGTTATCGCGGTGAGGATTTTAAAACACAGTTAAGTGCAATTCGATTTCAATGAATTTTACGCAGTCATACTAAATAAACTTTGATGTTGGTATTTTACAGTAGGCTTAATCCTTCGCTTTGAACCGACTCCCCACTCCCCACCCCCCTCCCTCTTTCCAAATGGGAGGGGGGGGGGTAGGAGGAAATATTTGCTCGTTCTGTTCGATAATTTTGGGATTCACTGCATGCGTGCGCGATGCTGCTGTATGGTTTAACCAAATTCAAAATGGCTACTTCATACAAAATATAATAGTCTAAAAAACCAAGACAAAATCTTTTAAATACATTAACGGACTTAAACTAATATGCATGCAGATGTTTCAGATTTCTCTTGTGCGTCCACGTCCAAAGATGAGAGCTGATTTACAGCTTCTAGAAGTCTAGTGAGCGGTTGACGCTTATGAAAACCAAGACAAAATCTTTTAAATACATTAACGGACTTAAACTAATATGCATGCATGCTTCAACGCGCTTCGTGTACCTGATGTGTAAACTC